GTGGCAGGAACCCACAGAAATGTATTCCCCGGGGGATCTCATGCCGGAACACTGTGGTCATCACACTTCAAGACAGGTGGGGCACTGAGCCAGGAAAGAGCTGAGCTGATGCGGGGTCAGCTGGGCGTGGGCTGCCCTCCAAGGTCACCACTCTCTAGTCTGAAGGGGAGTGGGAGGGGACCAAGTCTCTCCTGCCTTGAGAAAGCCTGGCAGTGATCTCTCCGTGACAGTGCCTCATGGAAACGTGACCCAGACGTCATCTACTCAAATGCACCTCCATTTCACGTTGGCTAGTCCAGCTTCCCCGTCATTGTGCTTTTGTGCTAATGAATGAACATTGAGGGGCTTCCTCTCCTTCTCTGCATCCTTCCTGTCATCTTGCATACCTGGCAGGACTGCCTCCACAGGAAGGTCTGGGACATAAGCATATGCCACCAATGGCTCTTTGTGGCTTGTGCTTCCTGCTAGAGGGCCTAAGATGGAAGCGTTACTACCTGAACATGAGTGCTTTCCTGCTCAGTAGCAGGGGGTGTGTGCTGTGTGTGTTCTACACATTGTAACGTATCAAGATATGAGATTTTCTGGAGCCCATTTCTCATCATAGAAGCCCTGAAGGCTAAGTGCAACAACAGTGTGCCAATCTGAGAAGATGAGAACTAGGGGCCTCCCTTGCAGTTTGGTAGGGCCTGACTGGAGCTAGGAGTTCCTGGGTGGTGCTAATGGTTAACACCCTCGGCTGCTAACCAAAAGGCTGGAAGTTTGAGTCTACCTGGAAGCACCTCAGAAGACAGGCCTGGCTATCTACTTCCAAAAAAATCAGCCATTGAAAATCCTATGAAGTCCAGTTCTACTCTGACACACATGGATTGCCATGAGTTGGAATCGACTTGATGTCAACTGGTTTAATTGGAGACGAGGTAAGGGAGACAGGTGGTAAATGGAGACTTCTTCCTTCTGGGGCCTGAAGCCATGGAGAGGTTCAGGAAAGATCTAGACAAGGCCAGAGATGAAAGACCCAGGTCAGAAGTAGTGGTGTGTAGAGATGAGCTCAGTAGGAGGGAGATGAAGAGGGGGTCCAAGTGCCAGGCCAGCCTTCAGATAAGGAAGGGCAGGAGGCTGAGGTTGAGACCAGATCCCTCAGGGCTGCTGGCACTCAGCCAAGATGTAGGCATGGCCCACTATTGTCCACCTGAGGTTCGGCTGAATGGGTCAGGAGCTTTTGTCCCTTCCAGGAGGGGGGACAGAGCTTTAGCCCCTGCTGCAGGGAAGGTGTTCGTAAGGTGGCCGATGCCTTCGGATGTGCAAGGGGAGGAACAGTGAGAAAGGGCAGAGGGTGCTGAACTTCTAGGGTGGAGTGTCCAGACTGTATGATCTCCCTGATGGCCTGGGACCCCTGAGTGACTGTGACCTGTGACCTACAGTGGTCTTTTTGCTCAACTGTCTCCCTTGGTCATGACCCCCATCACTGACCGGTGCTCCCTGGCTGGCTGGGAAACCCTGAATGACATGATCCCTCTCGGGTGGACCCCCACTGTGACTGACTGTGATGCCCTGAGGGACTTTTACCCCTTGGCCAACGTAACCCTTTGCCTGACTTTGACTGCAAGGCTGTGACCTCTTGGTCAATTCTGACCTTCACTGGCTGTATGTTTCCTGACCAAGTATGACCCTATACCAATTGGGATACTCTGTGCCCACCTGACACCCCCTTCACTGCACGACGCTGAGATGGATTAGGACCATTTGATCACTGCAACCTCCTTGAGTAAAGGTGATCCTTTTACTTTTGACCAGTTGTGACCCTCCAACCCCGACTGACTGGTTGTAACCCCTGACTCGGACCCCTGCATTGGCCCTGACCCCAGACTGACTCTGCCCCCTGACTGACTCAGCCCCTCTGACTGGCTACGAGCTCCTGACCAACTGTGATCTTCCTTAATGGCTGTGATCCCTCAACCCCTGCGCCTACCAGTGACCAGCTGCCCCCCGTGTCCTTTGGTGCCCCTGCCCCTGCCCGCCTGCCCGCCCAGGAGCTGGCGTCTGTGGCACCAGTGGCGGGAAGGAGTCACACTCACGCCCAGCTGCAGCAGGAGGAAGGCTGGTCGGAGAGGAAAGAGCATTGGACAACGACACGCGACTAGGGCTAGAGAGATTGGCTACGTCCTGGCTCTGGCTGGTGACGGAGGACTGTCTCCGGAGGGCCCCCTGAAAGGAGGCCCCGCTCTTGAAAGTATTGACTACTTCAATCTGCAACGGAGGAGAGAACGAGACAAGTTGCAAAAAGAACGAACACAACAGCTACACAACTGACAGGCGCAACGTCACAAGAACAGCCGCAGCCACGGCAACAACAACATCACTTAAATTAAAAAAAAAGTACCAGACACACTCCAAGGCTCTGAAAGACATCTGCTCAGCTCCAGGCCCCTCTGTAGGCCCCAGGGTCCCAGGGAGGACGAGGGAGTCCGACCACTTTTCTGCATTCGTGGTCAGGGACCAGTGGGCTGGGGCTGGGGGTAGGGGCGATTAAACATGGCGTCTGGAGGCCAGAGAGCGCGCTCAGCCTCCCTCAGGGCGGTGTGGAGCAGAGGGGGCATGAGGGGCGGGGGGCTCTGGAGTGGACAGAGCTTGGGCCAGATCACCTACTAGATAGGTAACCTTGGGCAAGGCACCTCTCTGAGTTCAGCTTCTGGTCCTTACAAAGGGGCAGTGCCACCTACCTAGCAGGGTTATCTGTAACTGGCAAAGCATATGGCACATGTTAGTGCTCAGAAAGAGCCAGGCTAGACAGGAGCCTGTGCCTGCTCAGGAAACCGCCGCCTGGTCCTACCGAAATCTAGAGACCCCAGACAGGCGTGGTCGCGGGGGTGTGGGCGTGGTCGCCAGGGTGTGGGGTGACCACCAGGGTGGTGGCAGCAAGGGCCCTGTGCACTGAGAGCTGCCCCAGCACTCCCACGGAGCCGGGCCGCTGGGAGGCCGGCTGCTGGGGTGTTGTTAGGGAAGGGGAGAGCCAGCCTGGATCCGGCAGCTCTGTGTCTGAAACCTGTCTCCACCCCCCAGCCGTGCCAGCTCAGCAGAAAGGCTCATCTCCTGAACTCAGGTACCTCTAAACCTGGGGGAGTCACACCTACCTCTCGGGGGGCTATGAAGGTAAATGAGATATGTTTGGGACCGGCAATGTGAAGTGTGAAGCAGCACAGGTGATAATACTGTTCTGTTGGGTGGACATGAACGGCCAGTCCAAGCCTGGAGACAGGCCAGGCAGGCAGGGCCCAGGCTGGTGCTCTGGCAGCTTCTGTCAGAGGGAGCAGCTAGGGTAGCCCGGTGCCCTCTGCCCCTCCCCCTGTGCCTCCTGGTGGACAGACCCTGTGCAGGGCTGTGAGGAGGGCCCTGCCGCCGGAGGGGCTGGCATGGCCATAAAGACCAGGAATGTGAAGGGGCCCAATAGGCAGAAGACACGCAGCTGCTAGACTTACCCACCATCCCAAAGAGGAGGGCCAGAGGCTTCCCCAGGGGGGAGCCGGAGAACCAGGCTGCAGGTAGGAGCCCTCAGACAGGGGCCTTCTCTGTTACTTTCCCTGCCTCCGTCCCCGCCCAATTGGGTGTCCCAGAGCGTGATGGGGATAGGGCTGGGTATGAAATTCCCAGCGTTGGCTCTCCCAGGTGGTCTCGGTTAAGAGACCAGCCCTCTCTGAGTTTCCTAGTCCCTTCTGCCCCTCATCTCACAGCTGTGGAAGCTCGCTGTAAACTGGGCATGAGGCACATGTGATAGTGTGTGGCCTTTGTGTGTGTGTCCCGGAGCGTGTGGCCTGTGTGTGTGTGTGTCGCAGAGAATGTGGCCTATGTGGGTCGTAGAGAGTGTGGCCTGTGTGTGTGTGTGTCCCAGAGCATGTGGCCTGTGTGTGTGTGTCCCAGAGTGTGTGTCCCAGAGTGTGTGGCCTGTGTGTCACAGAGTGTGGCCTGTGTGTGTGTGTCCAAGAGTTTGTGGCCTGTGTGTGTGTGTGTGTGTGTTGCAGAGTGTGGGGGCTGTGTGTGTCCCAGAGTGTGTGGCCTGTGTGTGTGTGGCCTGTGTGTGTGTTGCAGAGAGTGTGGCCTGTGTGTGTCTGTGTCCCAGAGTGTGTGGCCTGTGTGTGTGTGTGTGTATGTGTGTGTGTGTATTGCAGAGTGTGGGGGCTGTGTGTGTCCCAGAGTGTGGGGGCTGTGTGTGTCCCAGAGCATGTGGCCTGTGTGTCACAGATAGTGTGGGCTGTGTGTGTGTGTGTGTGTGTTGCAGAGTGTGGGGGCTGTGTGTGTCCCAGAGCATGTGGCCTGCGTGTGTCCCAGAGCATGTGGCCTGCGTGAGTCCCAGAGTGTGTGGCCTGGGCGCATGTGTCCCAGAGCGTGTGGCCAGTCTGTGTGTGTGCCAGTGCGTGTGCCAGTGCGTGTGGTGTGTGTGTGTGTCCCACAGCATGTTTCCCCTGTGCCCAAGCAGAAGCTCCATTGCCTGACAGGGCTGCCCCTGGGCCCTGGGAGAATCTGGGGTGGACTCTGACCTGAGGCTGTGTTCTGGCCTCAAGACGCATTGGTCACCTGCCTGCAGCTTTGCATTGTCCTGGTCCATGTCCCCCAGCAGCACCCACCAGAGCCCCTCCCTTAGTCCTCAGAGTCCCTGCATGCCACCTGCCCTCTCAGAGGAACCCCTCCAAACCCTTGGTGGGTGTAACACCCACTCTGACCCTTGCCTGAGGGGAACCACCTGAGTGTGGGAAGAGCGTGGGTGAATAAAATGGTTGTTGAGATGGTGGGGGCCCTTTGGAGCCTAGGTGCTGGCCTGTGGCAAATCCCTCCCAAAGCTGCCTGGCCTGGGAAGTCAGGCTCTCTGTGGCCTGGCGGTTTGTGTGCTTGGCAGCCACCCTCCCTGCATGCCAGCGCTGGGCCCTCGGGGTCATATGGAGGCTGCCTCATCTCCACCCCCACCCCTCACCCCACAGGTGTGGCCTGGCCCTGAGAGGCTCTTGTACCTGAGTTTGGATCCGATTCAGGCCTCGGAACCACAGGATCTGGCCCCGCCGCAGCTCTCTCTCCGCGTGGTCTATCTCCTCCACGTCCTCATTGAGCTCCTCCTCGGGGATCTCCTCTTTCTGCGTGAGTCTTCCTGCCTCCTTGAGGAACTTGAGCCTGCTGGTTGGGATGGTGGCGATGACCTGGAAGGGACCCAGGGGTCAGGCAGGGAAGGTATCCCTGCAGCCAGCCTTCTCCCCTCCCTGGAGTCACTTCATCCCCACCCCTCCTTCCTCTCCCTCCCTCCCCTCTCGTCTTACCACTTATCTACTCACTTGTTCAGTTCACTCCTTAACTCATCACACCCATTCCTCAACGCCATCTTTTTTTTTTTTTTAAATCTCTTATTAATTCACTCACTCACTCACTTATCCAGAGTTACGGGGACATGCTGGAAAATCTTGCACTTTAGGAGTTGGACAGATGTGGCACTGAATACTCTAAACCTTAGTGGTCATGTGACCTTAGGTAAGTTATCTAACCTCTCTGAGCTTTGGTTCCCTATCTGTAAAGCTGGGGTGATGTGCAGCGTTGTGAGGATGGAGTGAGACGGGGTGTCTGAGTTGCCGTGCAGGAAGCCTGTCCCATGCAGGCCCTCAGGTCTCCTGGGCTCATTCCCGGGTGTCACAGGACCTCCCTCCTGAGGCCACTGGTCGTGGGGGCAGCTAATCCTGTGGACCCTGGGTTTGCTCTGGGGAAAATATGCCTTCATCCTTACTGTTCCCCAGAGGGCTTGCCCACGGAGATGAGACCTGAGAGGCTGGCCCTGTAGGGAAGCTGAGGTGCTGGATGTCAGAGTCCCCTTTCATCTCCTAGGACAGGCAGGGGCTCCTGAACACTCCAGCATCTGGGGTTCCTGGGAGTTTAGGATCTGCATTGTCCATTGACATTGCCCTTGGTCATTCTGAGCCTGGCTCCCCCAAACACTGAGCGCCCCATGAGGGCATGGGCTGTCTGCTCCTACTCTGGGTCCCAGTAGGTAAAGATGGCCTGGCCCTGAGGGTGCCCGGAAAAGGGGTTTGTATGTCCAATCTAGTTTATCAGCTTTCCAGAGAAGTTCCGAAGTTTAAAGAAGGTCCTTTTGAATGAAATTAAAATTTCTTTCTATGCTAGTTAGTTTTTGCCATTGTAGCTCCTCACCTTCGCCTGGGAACAGGCTGAAAGCCCAAGCGCCTGGCTGATGGAGCAGCTTGGGAAAGAAGCCCCTTTGGCCCAGGGTCAGTATCTGGGCACTTCTCATGAGCACCATTTCCTGGGGCAGGCACCTGTAGCTGCAAGCTGTCAGAGGTGGGATTTGGGGTGGGGGTGCCTGGAACTTGGGCGAAAGTTGGTGGTAAATGTTTTGGGATCAAAGCTGGAAGGGTCCCTGGAGAACATGGGAGAATCTCAGATGGCTACCAAAAAACAGCAAACCAGCTGCTGTACAGTTGGTTCTGACTCATGGCGACCCTGTGGGTGCGGAGTGAACTGCTCCATAGGACTTTCAGTGACTGTGACCTGTGGAAAGTAGATCACCAGGCATTTCTTCCGAGCCACATCTGGGTAGATTCAGACTGTCAACCTTTCAGTTGGTAGTTGAGCGCTTAACCATTTGCACCACCCTGGGACTTCCAGATGGCTATAGACACAGCCTTAAACAGCACCGAAATGCAGCAGATTAGTCCCTCTGTGTCCCCTTTAAGCCATCTGACAGGGCAAAGAGGAGAGCCTCCACTCAGTGTGAGCAGGTCCTTCACACCGTCACACCACTGACTAATCCGGGATTGTAACAAAAAGCAGGTTTCATGCTTGGAGCCTTGGCAGGCAATGGCATCCAGCTAAAATTTAATAACAACATTCTCATTATAGTTTTCTTTTTGTTAGCTTCTATTTGTAAGTGATACTGATCTTCCAATCATATTAATAATATTAAGTTGCCTTCTGAAATTAAGTTAAAAAAAAACTGACGTGATTGAAAGGAAATAGTAAGTAAACAACAGCATCAGTGTTATGTAGATCTATAGCAGAAATTACAATGGTGGCGCCCAAATGACCCATTCTGGGACCTGGTCCAAACCTCACTGCTTAGATGCCCAGAGACGAGAAGGGCCTTGCTCAAGGTCGGACAGCGAGCCCATGGCAGAGCCGGGACCCATTCCTGGGGCTCTTGGAGTCCTGGTCCAGAGCTCTCTCCCTTCCCTGCTAAGATGCACCTCCTGCAACCCACCCGCAACTTACTTGGCCCCAGACGAGCTCTCCTAGTCCGATGAAGATGCACCACATCCACTGGTCCAGCTGCAGCGGCGAGCAGCTGAACGGCTTCCCCCCAAACTGCACGATCACTATCTGGAGGTCAAAGGGGAGCAGAGAGGGACAGAGAGACAGGCAGTCAGGGGCCCGTGCAGGGGTCTGGGCTCTCAGGGCACCGTCCACCCCAGCCCAGGTAAGGATGGGGGGCCGGGCTACCTGGATGGCAAAGGTGCCCAGCACGATGGTGCAGAAGATGGGGTTCCGGAAGATGCCGTCAAAGACGTTGCGCTCGCCGTGGATCTTGCGAGCATTGATCTCATTGAAGAGCTGCATCATGACGAAGGTGTTGAAGATGATGGTGTAGTGCTCCGAGGGCGGGGAGTGCAGGGGCGCGTTCCTCCCGCTGTCGATCTGGAACATCTTCTCGCCTGCCAAGCCAGAGGGCAGGGGCTGTGCTGGGGGTGGGCTGGGGGCCTCCTTGGGTGAGTCACTGAGATGCTGGGTGGGCTTTGGACGTGAGGTGGTGCGGGCCTGTGCTGTTGGGTGGCTGGTGAGCGTGGTGAAGAGTCTTTGGGAGAAAGACCTTGGGGTAACTTTCTCCCACTTGTGCTGTGGAAATCTGATGAAGGTGGACTACCAGGTTACCTACCAAGTGACAGTGTTTACAAAAGGTGCCCCCTCACTGGTAAATGGAGCCCTGGTGGCACAGTAGTTAAGAGCTCGGCTGCTAACCAAAAGGTTGGCAGCTTGAATCCATCAGAATCCAACCATGGGGTTGCTATGAGTCGGAATCAACTTGACGGCAACAGCCGGCCGGCTGGACTGGTAAACTCACTGGGACTGGGAAGACTGGGAGTCAGCTAGGCATGCCTGGTGGGAAGCCTGGCTTTGGGCTCCCCTGCAAGTGCTGGTTCTTGCTGAGACCTCTGGAAGTTCATGGGTTCCTATACGGAGCTTGGGGCTTCTAGGCCAGGCTGGCTCTGGGCCCCCACGTGGCCTGATCCTCCACACCTGAGCTGTCCCGGGGGTGGGGGTGGGGCGGGGCAGTGCGGCCCCTGGACTGCTGCATGGACTCCTGCTGTGGCATGTCCTGGACTCCCACGATGGCATATCCTGTCCCCTGTCTGCAAAGTGGAGTGACCTGGTTCTGGGAGGGATGGTGGGGTTTTCTGGGTGTGAAATGTCTAGCTGAATCTAAGACCACCAAGAGTAGGCTGAAGTGGGGACCCCAGTACCTAACGCGGGAGCCCGCCCCCTCTCCTCGACTCGCCCTGCAGCGGCCTCCATGCCGCACCTTTAGTTTTGCATTCACATGGCTTCTTCTCAGGCTTTGCATGGTAGTCCTGCCAACATATCACCTCCAGAACTTGTGGAAAAGGAACGTGACCCATGCTCCACCACCAACTGCACTCCGGGCTCTGAGGGCGTTGAAAGTTCAGCTCAAGGAGGCGCAGATGGAAGGGGCCTAGGCACAAGAGCCAGGCTGGGGACCCTGCACTGGCCCTGACCCACTGTGTGACTGCAGGCTGTCCCCTTCCCCTCTCTGGGCCTCTGCTTCCTCACCAGAGGTCAGGGGAGGCTTTACCTGGATCATCTCTGAGCATGTCTGAGTGAGGCAGCCCCAAGGAACCACGCTCTGCACCCGGCTGCTTTTCAGATGGGCTGGGTGCCTTTGGGCAGGTCCCCTCACCTCTCTGCGCCTCGCTACCTTCATTTATAATGCTGGGTGATGATGAAGGTGCCTGCCGGTTATTAGATCCACACGAGGTAGCCTAAATGAGTGCATTGTGGAAATAGCTGACATTATGTAATCGAGTGGTGCTTCTCCAAGGAAGTCTCCATGATAAAGTGCTGGAATGGGTCACAGGAGGGGTGGGCTACTTCCCTCTCAGAGCCTCGGGATCCTTACAGGGACTGTAATCTCCTGTGGCTTACCTGAGGGGCACTCTTACGCACCTGTACACTGCTTTGCAAACTGTGTACTCAGTGCCGAGAGCCCTCATCATTAGTGGAAAAACACTGGCTTCGCAGTCTGCCAGACCTGGGGTGGGAGGGCCCTGGCTCTGTCCTGACTCGCTGTGTGACCTTGAGCAAGTTATTTTACCTCTCTGGGCTTCAACTACCCCTTGGCCCCAGTAGGAATGGGGCTATGAACCTAGACGCTGGGTCAGGGGCATGGTGGGTCCAGAAGGCGGTGATCTTGTCACAGAGGGGTATGGGTGGGGCAGGGGACTCACCCACAAAGAGCAGGGTGAAGATGAGGGTGAGCTGGTAGACAGCGTGGCCCAGGATGTTCTTCATCATGGTACGTGAGATGAGGGGCTTGTTGCGGCCATACGGCTTTCGCAGGAGCAGAGTCTCAGTGGGCGGCTCAGTGGCCAGCGCCAGGGAGGCAAACGTGTCCATGATGAGGTTCACCCAGAGCATCTGCACAGCCTTCAGAGGGGAATCCTGGGGACAGTGGGACATGGGGATGGCTGTCACAGGGAAGCCAGCCTGCCTGCTGCTACAAAGTGCTGGGCATGGCTGGAGGCCTTAGGCTGGCTCTGTCTAGCAGGCTGGGGGCCCAGACCCTTGGCTGACCTGCCCCTTGGGTTCCTGAGCAGCCATGGACCAGGTTTGCTGAGGCCTTCTCTGGAAAACAGCCCAGACCTGCCCACCTTGGCCCTGTCTTCTCTCCCAAGGAGAAACTTGAGTCCCCCAGGCCCGATGGCCAGCAGCTCCCTGCCCTCCAGAAAATTTAGCCACATCCCTGCCATCTTTCCTCCTCCCCTCCAGCTTCTGTGGATAAGTCTCTCCTCATGGCTAAGACCAAGGACCTCCCCACCCCCCAGCATAGTCCTGCCTCCTTGGCCTCCCTCTGCCTCCTGTCTGATGCCTCCTTTTCTTCAACTATCAATGGCTCAAGTCTCTATCCTAAAAACAATTCCCGTGACCCTGTTCCCTTTCGACTACCACCAATTTCTCCTCTCCTCTTATTATCCTACCTTACATTAAAAAATTCTTGTGAATATCTATGATTTAAAAATAAAACATTTTCAGAGTAGAAAGTTTTGGCAAGTAAGGAATAGCAGATACATAACGATAAAACTCATCAATAATCTCACCACTTAAAGGTTACCACTATCAGCATTTTGGAGTGCATCCTTCCACACCTCTCTCTTTGGCTGAGATTGAGATCGAACTATTCATAAATTGTCCTGTGCACAATCATATCACTTGGTCTAAACTGCGGAATGAGCTGAACCTCAATGTTCCCCTCCTTCCTCACATCCCTGCATGCCTTGTCCATGACAGCCTGGCTTTGGCCTCTCCATGCCCCCAAAATACCTTTCTCCAAGGTCACCAGTGAGGTCTCCCTGTCACAAATGAAGGGAGACATTCTTTAGCCTCATCTCACTGACTCCCCGCCCATTTGGCCTCCCCTGTGCACTCTACCCTCTTGGCTCCTCGCTCCCCCCATGCTCTCCTGGCCCTCTTCCTTCCTCTCTTGAACGTTCCTTCTCCACCTCCTTCAGGGGCTCCTCTTCCCCTTCCTTCTAAATCTGTGCTCCCAAAGGCCCCCTTCGGCCCCTGCTCTTCCCTCTCCACACCTGTCTCCCTGGCTTCAGGTGCCCACGTCTCTCCCATGAATCCTGTGTGGCTCTCTCCAGCCCATTCCTCTACCTGTGGCATTAGCCTCGTTCACCCTGTGGCCTGTGGAACACCTCCTCCAAGAAGCCCACAGACCCTGCAAGCTCAACAGCCCGAAGGAGCTGCTCTTCCGATCTGTCTTCTGTCTCAGTGTGCCTGTGCCCCACTCACTCACTCCCTGAATCCTGCTCATCTTCCTCCTAGACATTTATCACTTCCGGCTCAGCCAGTCTCCCCATCCCCTACTCCCCTGCCCCAGGGCTCACAGCCTTACAGCAGCCTCCTGCTCCTCTGCTCTGATTTCCTGCTCCCCTGCTCAACACACCCCATTCACAGGGTCAAGTTCCCCATCTTCCCACCCAAGGCCTGCATGGCCCTGCCGGGTCCCAGTCACAACTCAGTCTAAGACCTCAGGCAAACCAATAATCCTTTTGGGACCTCAGTTCCCTCATCTGGCATCAGTTGGTTTCCAAGGAACTTTATGAGAAGCCCTGGTGGCGCAGTGGTTAAACATTGGGCTGCTAACCAAAAGGTCAGCAGTTCGAATCCACCAGCCGCTCCTTGGAAACCCTATGGGGCAGTTCTACTCTGTCCTATAGGGTTGCTATGAGTCGGAATCGACTCAGCACAGTGGATTTTTGTGAGTTGCAGCTGACAAGCGGGTGTCCCCCCAAGCTGCCACTAGGGGGAGCGTCTCGTCCACAGACCAGGGGGAGAAGGCCTTTCTGAGCAGAAGGGAGCACGCCCAGCTACCCGCAGGGCTCCGACTCTCTGGTCTGGGGTAGGGTAGCCGCCAGGGGCATCCCAGGGTTCAGAATGCAGCAGAGGGGAGTAGCCTTCCCAGGGCCACACAGCTCTTGGAGGTACTGCTGGACTCTTGGCTTCCAGGGGCTCCTGTGGACAGGAGGAGCTTGTCTGCCCAATTGGCTGCTGGAGGGGCCAGACCTTGGGGATGCTCTGGGGCCAAGGAAGCCCACCCTCCCCTCCCCCGCCTTGGCTGGTTGGCCCCTGGGCTAGGCAGGCCAGCTGGGTGGGGGACCAGGAGGCCAGCAAGCAATGGCAGGTGCCTGGCCAGTCCATCCTCAGAGCCTCAATTTCTGCCTCTGTGATGCCTGCTGTCCAGGGCCTGCCACTGCTCAGTGCACGGAGCTGCTCGAGTTCCAGGCATGGTGACGTGGGCAGACTCCTGTCTCTCCCACTGAGACATGACCCGGCTCTCCCTTCTCCTGCCCCCAGAGCCCTTTCCCCAACCCTCTGCACGCTAGAGCTGAGCACCCCAGGCCCCTCTGCCTCTTTGCCCTCAGCTGAGGCCACGTGATTCCCCTTGGGCCCACCCCATCCCTGCCTCTCTCCTCCCTTTGGGCTGTGGAACTCTGCCTTCCCCTCGAGCGCCGTCTCTCCCGTCTGCTGGAGCAGGACCAGGCAGTGCTTGGGTCAGGCAGATGTGGGCACGAGGCCTGGCATTTCCCCATGGGCTGGGCAACCGTGGGCAGGTCATGCCAGCCCTGAGCACATTTCCTCAACAGCCACCGGGCTGCACTAGGTCTGCGGTGCGGCTCCTGACCTCAGTGGGTGCTCATTGATAGCTGTGCCCATCCCTAGCGTTCTGACATGGACCCCAGGACCCCCGCCCTCCCCTAGGCAATGGTACGCCCCTGCCCACACCCGCCCCCAAGGACTCACCTGCGTGATACAGGCTCCCGTGAAGGCCACAATCACAGCCACCACGTTGACCGTCAGCTGGAACTGCAGGAACTTGGAGATGCTGTCGTAGACATTTCGGCCCCACATCACGGCCTTGACAATGCTGCTGAAGTTGTCGTCGGTCAGGATGATGTCAGAGGCCTCCTTGGCCACATCTGTGCCTGCGATGCCCTGTGGGGACAGAGACGGGAGCCTGGGTGGGCGGCCAAGGGGAGGTGAGCCGGACACCAAGGCCAGGAGCTCTGGCAATACTGCCCTCATACTCCCTAAAACCAAACCAAACCCACTGCCGTCGAGTTGATTCCGACTCATAGCGACCCTGTAGGACAGAGTAGAACTGTCCCATAGGGTTTCCAAGGCTGTAATCTTTACGGAAACACACTGCCACATCTTTTTCCTGGTTGCCACATCTTTCTCCCACGTAGCCACTGGTGAGTTTAAACCGCTGACCTTTTGGTTAGCAGTCGAGCACTTAACCACTGCACCACCAGGGATCCTTCCTCATACCTCTACACATCTTCAATCCCACACAACCCCCCCCACACTCATGCCCAATCCTCCCATGCAGCCTTAGCATACAGGGACACACACACCTGTTCTTCACTCTCTTTACAGGCCCAGCTCCCGATGCCAGCCCTCTGCCTCAGTAGACCTCAGGGTGGCCTCTCCCAGCCCCTCATCCCCAGGCAGAGGCTGTCCCAGCGCACCCCCTCCTCCGCCCCGACCTGTGAGCCCCTGCCAGATGAAGCCCAGCCTTGAGAGCCGCCCCTACCATGGCAAAGCCCACGTCAGCCTTCTTGAGTGCAGGCCCGTCATTGGTCCCATCCCCGGTCACGGCTACCACCTGTCGCTGCTCAGTATGGGTGCTGTCGATGATGCCTGTGGGGTGGGGGCATGCTCAGGGCCCTGGGCCACCTTAGGGGGCGGGGCAGCCATCCAGCCCTGACCTTTAACAGGGCTAGGCTCAGGCCCAGCTCCCCCCACCCCACCCCCGCCTGTTCTGGTTCTCCCCAGCTTCAGGCTTGCCCACGGCTCCCAGCACCCTCAGGGGATGTCTGAGCACTTTATCCCAGTGCTGGCTGGAGGCCCTCAGTGGCTGGGACCTCTCACCCCTCCGGCACCCCTCTTCATCCTGGCAGCCCTGTGGCTCTGGGCACATGGTGGCCACCCTGACAGAAACCCCCTTCCTTCTGTCTCCAGGGACACCTCTTGCTCTCTGGGGCTCCCAGGGTCCGGCCAGTCCCTACCATCTGCTCCCTGGGGAGTCCAGTCACCCGGAGGAGGCCTTGGCTGATGACCCATTGACCCAGGCTTGGCCTTGCCCTCTCTCCAGGGATCACCCACAATATAATGTTCTCTGAACAATGGAATGAACAGAGAGTGTGTGGTCCCAGCCACTGACAGGGGCCAGTGGAAAGCGTGGGTGGGAGAAATCATCACTGGGCAATTGTGGAGTTTGTGGGGCTTGTAGCTTGGGGCTCCCAAGCAGAGGTGTCCATAGGGGCAGGACAGAAGTGAGGTGTCAACCTCGACGTGTTGCTCTCTCACCCAGCATGTCAAACGCAGCACCGAGCCTGCCCCCCTCACTGCAGCTCTGGGCTTCCTCTCCAATCTGCTCTCTCCACAGAAACCCCAGGATCTCTCTAGAATGCCAATCTGAACCTGCCCTGCCCCTCCCACTGAAAGTCATTCTCTCCTTGCTCTAGCTTCAGGCTCACAAAGTCCTCCGAGGTCAGGCCTTCCCCATTCTGTAAAGTCTCCTCTTGTCCTCTGGCCGCCCCCAGTCTGTGCTCCAGCCACAAGCAACCACTTGCAGTCCCTCAAAGCCCCTCCTGCTTGTGTCTGCCCTCGCACGGGCTGTTCCCTCAGCCAGGCGTGCTCCCAACATCTGCTGCAGTTTTTGCTGGGATGCTGTTTTCTCTGGGAAGTCTTTCAGATCCCCAAGGGCCCGTGCACGTCCCTCATCAGATCACTGTAACTCTAATTATGTGGCCTCCCCAGCTATGTGCGTCTCCCCATCCTATGCCTGGCACACAGCAGATGCCTAATAAATGTCTGTGGAATGAGGGAATGAAGTTCCCCCACCTGGGGCATCATCTCCTGCTGCCCAACCCCTCCACCCCCAGCTCTTTGCAACTGAAAGTTCTACCCTCTTCAAGGCCCGGCTTCAACGCTGTGTCCTTGGCTGCCCCCACCCAGCTGGTGGCCACCTTGTAGTTCCACTGCTCTGGACTCAGCCTCTCCAGTCTCTTTCCACACGGCATTTGAGGCCTTGTCCCCTCCTCCAAGGCAGGGAGGGTCTAATTTATTCTCTGTGTCTCCAGTGCCCACAGCTGCCACCAACCTTTGCACAGTGCCAACAGAGGCAACCCCACCATGCTTATTCCTCCACCTCCAGATCAGCCATCTCCAGCCCTGCAGGCTCCCACTCCACTGACATGCCCTTCTTGGGGCCACATCCTGTGGTCACATCTCTGCCCTTGTCTCTCAGGACCCTTCAGCAGCTGTTCAGGCTGTGGCCCACACCTTTTCTCAAAAGGCTTTCTTCCTTGGCTTCAGGACACTTCTGGCTCTTGGGGTTCCTCCTACCCCTCTGGCCATCATCACCCCTTGGTCTCCTCTGACGGTTCTCAGTCTCCGCCCACCACTTGGTGGGGCAGGGAGCTCCTGATACAGCCTGGCTTCTCTTCTCTCCCCCCTCGGCACACACCACTATATCTCTGTCCCAGGCCTAGCTCAACCCTGAGTCTGTCCCACTGTCTTCTGGACATCTCCACGTGGACATCAGGGGCTTCCAGCTCAGCCCGTCCTAAACCGAATGCATCGGTTTCCCCTCAAATCTGCCCCGTCTCCTGTGACTCCTAACATCCAGCTGTCCTCTCGACAATAGGGTGGTGCCAGCAGACAGTAAGCTCTCAGACAGCCATAGGAGGAAGGAGCCTGGACACCTGCATCTCCCTCATCCTCTACTATATCCCAGAAACCACCAACCCAGGCGAGTCCCCCCCGACCTTCCTCTGACCTGCACCCTCACTGGCATCACCCTAGGCCGGGCGCCACCATCTAACAGCTGGGCAGTCCCTGGATGGTCCCTCGGAGTGAGTGTTCTACACCAGCGTTCTCCCCTTAAACCAACCTGGCTCCCTGACCCTGGGGGTGGCTTCCATGCCACTGGCCTGGCGTTCAAGGCCCTGCAGATCTGAAGCCAGCACCCGCCTCTTTAGTGCCTCTCCTTTCCCTCCCAGCCCAGCCCCACTGAACTTCCTTCCATTCCCTGAAGGTGCCTGGAAACCTTTGCCTCTGGGCCGTCACAGTCCAGTCCCCTGCTCTGCCTGAGACACAGCCCTTTGCCCCCTACCCCCACTCCCACTTCCGATGGCCTGTGACCTGATACTCTTCCCTAGCCAAGTCAAAGGCCAGCAGTGTGCCCCCACACCCTTTTCTTCCGCAAATGAGCTCTCTGTAGGGAAACAGCCTATTGAATGTCTGCTGGATGGAAGCAGACCATGAATTCCAACAGGGAGGGGCACTCTCTGCCTGCAGCAGGGCTTGGCACAGTGGAGGTCCTCAACACACGTTTACCACGAGAATGAGTGAGTGAATGAATGAGTGAGGGAGTGAGTGCTTTCCATCTGAGAAATGGGGATGGGTCCAGGGCCGCAGCCCCCTGCTGGGCTATCCACGATTCCACGTTCCATGCGTCTGTCCCTAGGCCAGATCTGCTGCCATTAATATCCTCAGGCAGCATTTGAGAGAGGAACTTGAGATGCCCTGGGAGTGTTCTCAGCCAGAAACTGACCCCTTCCCTAGACATTTTACAGTTGAGAAATGGAGTCCCAGAGGGGAAGGGATTCTCTCAAGGCCACAGAACAGGTCAGTGGCAGAGCTGGGATTTGAACCCAAGGTGGTGTGACTCTAAAAGTGCCCAGCACTGGGCCACCTAGCAGGAGCTCAGTAAGTAGGGTGCCCTGTCTCTGGTGGGAGGTGAGGAAAGAGAAGGATTCTGGCTTCTGACTTCATCTCTCGGGTTATTATTTCCAGGATAGGCCATTCCCATGGTCTTGGTCACAGAATATTGGTTGGGGGCCTCAGAGACCAGGCTGACCAAGGGTCTCAAACTCATGAACCTCTGGGGCCAGGTTGATAACATAAATAAGTGAAGTGCGCTGAGTGTAAGATACTAAGGAGTGGTGGAGACTATCAAACATGAGAGTAGAGCACGGTCTGTATGAAGTGACTCACATTCAACATAAAACAAGGGCCCTGTACCAGCCAAATAAAACATGTCTGTGGGCCCCATTTGGTCCCCAGGCCATGAGTTTGGGACCCCAGATGGGCCCAGTCCCATTGCGACCTATAGGAAGTGGAGGCCCAGAGAGAAGACTCATAACCTCCCCATCTCCTTCTGGACTGCAGGAGGCTTTCCAGGGCTGCAAAGGGGATGAGACAAGGTGGCCCAGGTGTGGGGAGCCCCAGGCAAGGGCACTTCCATCCTGGAAAGAAGCTTCAGTGCCAGGAGAGGAGGCCCTGCGAGGCCTCAGGGTAGCCTGAGCCCGCCCAAGTCTTACCTTTGACCAGGGTATGCTTGTCCGTGGGGGAGGAGCGAGCCAGCACTCGCAGCTTTGGCCAGATCTTGTCGATTCGCTCTTGCTCAATCTGGAGAGGGATTGGGGGGAAGGCGCATCGGTGGGGTCTGGGAGAGAAACTAAGGCCAGAGAAGGGAGGGGACTTGCCCAGAGTCCCTGGGCTCTTAGCGGCACACTGGCTGGCTTCTGTGCAGTCATGCAGCGCCCGTACCTCCCAGCCCCCCATCCAAGCTCACCCCTCTGAGCACCCTTTATACTAGGCCACGTACCTCCCCCTTCTCATTGCGGATCCTCCGGTTGAACTCCTTGCCCTCGAGGCATAGGAAGTCCTCCCCAGGATGGATGATGCCACACTTGATGGCAATGGCCCGGGCTGTGTTGATATTGTCACCGGTGACCATGCGGACCGTGATGCCTGCCCGCTGGCACTTGCGAATGGCTTCCGGGACCTGGACAAGAAGGCAGGAGCCATGGAGGGAGGGCACTCTACTGTAAGGGGACTAGATGACCAGTAGATACTGATGGCAAATGTGGCACATGGGCCACAGCCTCCCTTCCTATGCCTATAGCAGGCATTATTAATAAATCACAGCATCCTCTGATTAAACCCTGATGTGGTCTCAGAATCCTTCTTGCAGGGAGTCACAGACAGCCACCACCTATCAACCACTAGCCTGTCCAGGGATGATATCATTGGCTTTCCTGACTTGGGCAAAGACTTTACGAAAGACCCCAGTAAGCACCCCCTCAGACCCTGGCCTCAGGTGAGAGTGCACAACACTCCACCAGTGCACTTGAACTTGAACCTGCTTCATCCACAGCCAGTTTTTGCAAACTCGATGATAGACACATTTGTGTATTCCCAGGTTTTTTCTGGGGGGACATTGCATTTGGGTGCATATTATTTCAGAATGTGACATTGACTTAGAATAAATACAAATGATTATGCTTCCTGTAAAATATAACATTTCATTGCGAGAGTAAGGACTGCATCCTGTTCGCTCGGCTGTGATGACCAGCTGACATCTGGACCAATCAGATCACAGCAGAGCCAACCAATCAGAAGCTAGTGAGGACGTGCCCCCTCCAGTGCCCACCACGATATAGAGCTGTGGATCTGCCCAGCAGTTAACCAGTTGGCATCAAGTAGACTCTGACCCATGATGACCCCATGTGTCTCAGAGTAGAACTGTGCTCCATACAGTTTTCAATGGCTGATTTTCAGAAGTAGATTGCCAGGCCTTTTTTCTGAGGTGCCTCTGAACCTCCAACCTTTCGGTTAGCAGCAGAGTGTGTTAACCATTAGCACCACCCAGTGACTCTGCCTAGCAATTAGGATACAAAAACTAGCCTGGAGTTGCTGTGGCCCTTTATACACAACACAAATCAAGTGGACAAGTGATTCCTACCCATGGGCAGTGACAAATAATAAAACAGTAAGGCTGTATTTGCTGCAAAACGTCTTTGAGAGAGAGATAAAATGTGTTAAGGGCAGAAAACCCTGCTGTACCGAAAGACTCGCAGGTCTAGAAGGATTGAGTCTGACTCCCCACTCTGCTTGCACACTGCAGTGACCGGGAGCTCACTCCCACCTGCCCTGCTCAAACACCACTGGGAGAGTCTGAAGAGTGAGTCTGTCCTTCCAAAACGTGACTGTGGTCAACTCCTGCCCATGAGCTCCCATTCTGCCCTCAGGCATTGTAAGAACAAGGGTAGACCTCAGATGTGTCTCGCCTCTGTCCACCCCCCATCTGCACCACCAGCCATTACTTTAGCCCCAATCACCCTCATCTCAACCCAGCCTTCTCTCTGGTCTCCTTGCCTCTGGCCTTGCGCCTCTTCCACCTTCTCCCCTGTCCTGGCCACCAGGGGCTCCACCCTGCCACTTGCTGGAGAAAAATCCAGACTCCTGAAGGTGGCCAACCATCATCCGGAGTGGCCCCTGAGGGCAAGACAAGGTAGACTGAGGAGCAAGGGAGTGGAAGGGCAGGCTCCAGGTCAAGGTAAGGAGACCTGTCCAGCCAGCAGAGCTGTCTTAAAGGCAGGCTGTGTGGCTGCAGGTAATGACCTCTCCATTACTGAAGGGTTAGCGCAGGGTGAGACTACCGGCCTCCTGCAGCCTGCACTCTGGAGTCTGGGGAAGAGCCTTTCTGACCTGCTCAGGGTTCAGGTGCCACGTGAGCAAACTGTGACCTCTTTTTATGGAGCCGGGCAGAGGGATGGGGACTGTCCAAGATGCCATTTACATAATTTATTGATGTCCTCACAATTGGCTGTAACTGGGCTTCAGCCCCCTGTTGTCTCCTGCCCCAGAGGATGGGTAAGAGCTGCTGTTCTTTTGGGAACACACACCTTATTTGGCTCTAGCCCCAAAAGAAGAAATTTAGGTTATGTTTGTTTTAAAGACACTTGAGGTCTTAGAATTAGAAGGGACTTTCAGTCATTGAATCTGATGCTCTGCTCCTTGCCTGGATCTCCTCCCACACATCCCCAGCAGAAGGTCGGCCAGCCTCTGCTTGCACACCTCTGACAGGGTACTCAGCCCCTCCAAGGCTGACTCCTCTGTAGTGGAATAAGTCTAGCTTATTCTTTCTCTTAACTGCTCTTTTTGCAGAGAACGGAGCAGTTACTCTGGGTCAGACCTGTATTCTTGTACTCCAGAGGGCAGATAGACGTGGACTAAATTCATTCAGGATACAGAGGCAAGGGCTCCAGTAAAGGTCTGTACTCTGTACAGAGGGCTCTAGGGACACAGAGGAAGTGGTGTTACTTCAGAGGGAAGTGGGTGGGGAGGAGAAATCATCAAGAGCTTCCTGGAGGAGGTGATGTCAGGCTGGTTCTGTTCAGTCAACATTAACTGCCCAGCACTGTGCTCCGGGCTGGGGCTACACAGAAGAGAACTGTTCCATGAGGTGCCTGAGCAGAGAAGGTGAGATGGGTAGACCAGACAGAAGGCACGGCCTGTCAAGAGGCTTCAAGGTGTGAATAGGCCCAGAGGGGTGCTGCAGTTGACCTGGAGAGGCTGAAGCTGGGGGACAATGTGGGTCAGAGGCTGGGTGCCCAAGAAGCTAGAGAGGGGTCTGAGGTTGGAAGGTGCTGGAACCAGGGACTAGGAGTGGCTCCTAGAGGCCCTGGGAGCTGTGTGAGTTTGAACCTGCAATGATGTGACCATGCCGTGTTGGAAAGGCTCCTCCTCCAAGGCTCTCTCAGGGAGCTGACGGCTGCCTGCCTGGAAGCCCCATTCCCTGGCCTTTCTCAGACAAGCAGGTCCTGTGAGAAAAAGGAGGAGGCTGCTTTTTGTGACACTTCCCCTGGTGAAGGCTGTGCCATCCCTGCTTGGGGAGACAGGGCTCAGGCACCAAAGGCTGGGCTGGTCTTTGCCCTGGGGGCAGGCAGACCTGTGCTGGAATCTCACCTCAGCCTCGGTTTCTTCGTATGTAAAATGGGGATGGTTGTGCCTACTCTTTGGTGAGGCTGGGGGGATTCTGGGACAAGGCAGAAATGGCACCAAGCACAGGGCTGCCCTAGCAGACGCTGGAGACAGAGGCAGGGAGGGAGGGAGGGAGGCTGACAAGACGCTTGATCCTGTTGCCTGGTAGTCTTCCTGCTTTGGGAGGGGCGGGATGCAGAGGAAGGATGTAGGTACAGTGGTGGAGGTAGGGGTGAGCAGGGCGTCAGGGACAGGTGGAGAGATGGGGTGGGTGCTCTGCTGTGACTCCTGGGTCAGGCACCTTTGGGGCCTGTGTCCTGCCTTGAATGTGAGGGGATTGAAAGCAGATGTGGAAACACTCAGAAGGCTTTCTGGGCCATCTTGTGAAACTCTCCTTTCTGGCAGCAGTCCCTCCAGCTGGGCTCCGCTGCTGTGCTTCTGTCCTGCCCTGCCCTTGGGTCCCTTCCCCTTCCCCATCAGGCTGTGAGCGCTGGAGGACAGGAACTGAGCATGGCTCAGCCACACAGGGGCCTGGCACAGGGTGGGCGGGTCACATGAAACATCAGCCCTTCAGCCCTTGATGCCTGACCTATGGTGCATGATTTTATGTGGTGCTGAGTAAATGGATTCTGATAAGGACATGCAAACCCACCACCATTTGGCTCCAAGCTCCCTTTCTAGCCTTTTCTCTCCCTTTCCACCTCCTTGCCTTTGGCCATGCTGTTCTCTCTGCCCGGAATGCCCTCTCTGCCTCCATCTGTATGTGCCAAAAATCTTACCCATCTCTCTCCTGAAATGCTCTCTATTCATGAAGCCATTCTTGACTCTTCCAACCCAAAGGGATAGTTCCTTAAACTGCTCTCCGTCCTTTCTTTGATTGTTTCCTCCTTTATCCCTTCAACAAGCAGCTATGGAGCATCTAAGTGTTCTGGGTACGGAGGAGTTCAAGATGAATAAGACGCACACTCCATCCCCGAGCGTCAGTGAGATAGGCTTTTCCCATAAATAAAATCCTCGGAAAATTAAAAACAAAATTTTTTTTTTTTGCTAAAATTATCCCAGATATTTCTCCCTGAAGAAAAACAGCCAGGAAATGGGTGCTTCCTGTTTTCATGAAATAAAACCTTCTAAACATCTGTTGTTTCTGGTGACAGCCATTGTGTGCGACTCCCAGGGCTCCAAACACCCCCGGATAACCCGGCAAACCCCAGACCTGCGCTCTCCCGAAGGCTCTATCCGCACTGGCTCCAATCTGCCTCTGGAAATGCTCCCATAGTGATGTCTGGTGGTGGAGTGTTCGGACCAGTGTGCTTTTATCTTTTCTGTCCTGTGGTCTTCCCGAGGGACATTCACCTCTTGACAGAGGGGAAACTGAAGGAGGCGGGGTTTGTTTAAAGCCTGTGACAGCTGCAGAACGGGTCTGAACCTGTTTGAAGGACCCCAGAGGTTGTTCAGGCTTGAGGTTTCCTCCCTGGCTGGGCCTCAGTTTCCCTGGAGAGCATTACAGACATACCCACTGCAGGTACAGACAATCCCCAGAAACTGGGGGCAGTGCTGCCCCTGAGGTAGAAATTGGGGATCTGGGGGTGGTATGGGGGGCTTACTTCACACTGTCTGTGTGCTTTTGCATTTGACTCCACAGGCACAAATTATCTATCCTGAAAAACAGACAAATAAAACCATACCTGCTGGTCTCCTAGGGCCCTGTGTCCACCCTCCCCCCACTCCCCCGGGAGACTCTGAATCAACAGGTCTGAGCTTTTATACTTTTAGGGAGTGTCACCAGCCACCCTACTGTGCATCTCACTTGTGAATGCTGGACAGGCCAACTTCCTCATTTTTCAGATGGGGAAACGGAGGCCCGGAGAAGAGATGTGTCCGAGGTCGTCGGTGAGTGAGTGGCAGGGGCAGGATTAGAACCTGTGTCCCTTGACTCTTGAGTGTCACTGCTCAAATACAGCTTAAAAAACCTAAAACCAAACCTGCCGCCCTCAAGTCGATTCCAACTCTTAGCGACACTATAGGACAGAGTAGAACTGCCCCGTAGAGTTTCCAAAGAACACCTGGTGGATTTGAACTGCCAACCTTTTGATTAGCAGCCACAGCTCTTAACCACCACGCCTCTAGGGTTTCCAAATACAGCTTATACCGTCTAAATTCACAACCGGAGGGCGATCCAAGGGGAGAGGAAAGCCCACCAACAGTAATGCACTGACGGAGGAGGCAAAAAAGATGTGAGGTTAAACCTTCCAGAGAATGTCAGAGCTCGGAAGGAACCTGAGGGGCACCTGGGCTGACCTCCCATTTTACAGATGAGGAAGCTGAGGCACAGAGAGGGGAAGAAGCTTGTTAGTGGCAAAGTGGGGACCTGGATTCAGGTCCCATTTCTCAAATGTAGCCCCCTTCCCAGGAGGGGGACAGCCCCCCATTTACCAAACAGCCCCCCACTTCCCTGAGGCTACTTGTTTGGACAAGCACACTGACAACAGAAAATTCCAGGGGCCCAGCTCTGGCCCCCCGCTCAGGCCCTGGGAAACACCCTCTCTCCTCTCCTCACCCTCGTGACCTAGAACCACTTGCCCCTTCATTCAGAAGGCTCTGGGGCAGGAAGGCAGAAAACCTGGCTCTAATCTGGATTCATGCAGCCTTGCAGTGTAACTTTGGGAACACCACTGCCTGTCTTTGTGCCTCAGTCCTTTCATCTGCAAATTGGGAATGTGAGATGGTGTTTGGACTAGATTAGCAGTTCAAACCTTGAGTCATGGCCAGTTTAGTGGATGTTGAAATCAGTTTAGCAGATGGCCCCCAGCATTTAAAAAAAGAAAGAATTGGAAAAGAATAGAAAATATCCAAGGGCATTGCATTACTTTGTGAATTTCTTGTTTCTGGTGTGTGTGTTTACTGAGTCATGGCATAAAATGTATTTTTAATTGTGAGTCATGGCCAAAAAAGTTTGTGTCTGATGCTGCTTCCATACCCTTGGGGATGCTTCTGAGGCAGGGTGTGAACTGGGAGCTCTGGAAGGGGCCAGAGTGAGATCTGAGGTTGGGAAGGCGCAGCGGCGCCCTCAGGATGCGGCCAGGCCTCCTGTCCTGCTCAGGGACAAGCCTCTGCCTCTGGCTCATTCTGAGTGATTTCCAATAAGGAGATAACACATCCAGTGAAGCCTGAACTGTTAGCACTGGTAATGAGCAGGCATCCTGCAGGGAGGTGATAAACGCCTGTCTCTCCGGGGAGATGGGAGACGCTGTTGGGAGGAATGCAGGCTCCGGTATACAGTACCAAGTTTAGGGGCATTAATTGTCTTTGCCGTTTTAGGCTCTGGGTAGGAATGAGGAGGCCACAGTGACTCCCCACAGCAGGCCTGTATGTGTGTGCAATGGTGTTGGGAGACTGGGGTTCAAGGCCCATTCATTCTCATTCATTCATTCCACACACACTTATTGAGCACCTTCTGTATGCCGGGCTCTGTGTTAGGGGCTATTCTGTGTTAGGGATCCAGAGTCATGAATCTACTAGGGAGGAGGATGAAGGAAGGCACCCACATTTATGGGCCACCAACCTCATGACAGACACTGCTTGTTGCTCCTATGTCCATGATATGATTGCTCACAATATCCTGAGTGGGGGATACTACTATCATCCCTAGTCTACAGATGAGGAAACTGAGGCTCAGAGAGGTTATGTAACTGGCCAAGGTCACACAGCCAGCAATGTTGGGACTTAGGATCCTAGGCCTGTCTGATGCCCAAGCTCACACCTTCAGTCCCCTAACCCCTGCCTAAGTGGGAAAAGTCCATGCCTGTGACCCTCTATCTAGTTTCACTAGGTCTCTGGAATGCAGAATCTTACAACAGGAATTTGGAGAGCATCTTGTCTACCTCTTCTACTTTGAAGAAGGGGAAACTGAGGCTCTGAGAGGAGCAGGGAAGGCCCAGAGGCCCGCAGATAACGGTGGCCGGGCCAGTCAGGGATGATGAAGTGGCTGAAGGAAGGTGGCCCGAGGGGATCGTGTGCCACCAGATCTCGTAGCCAAGGTCTATCTGGACACGGTCAGTCCCAGCTGGAGAGCCAAGTCTGGACACAACATCTGTGCTAGGCCTCGGAGGAGGCGAAGCCGCTTTCCCTGTGCCTCCCCGAGTCCTCGCACTGCCCTCTGGGGCCGCACAGGTGAGCGGACCCCCTCCGCCTGACCCGAGCTGCATTTTGGAGAGTTGAGGCAGCTCCCTCCTCTCCCAACAGCTTCTCTCCAGCCTGGGCAGCCCGCTAACCACATGCGTCCCCCAACCCACAAATCCCATAACATTGAATCCTCTGTATTCTTCCCAGAGGCAGATTCAGCTGAGGGAGACTGCAGGCCTACTGTGTGCTGGGCACCCATTAGGTGCACTCATACTCATCACCTCCCTCAGTGCTGGTGAGGCGGTGCTGTCTCCATGAACCTTCTAGCTCTGTCCCCCTGGAAAACTGATAAGGGCAGACTGTCGGCTGTGCTACTAGATGACCTTGCCAGGGTCAACTGATTGCCAGGGTCAACTGCATCTGTAGTGGGAAAATACTGATGGGGACACACACTTCGGTGTTTCCTGAGTTACTGGCCATGCCCTTTGCAGGGACCCTAGAATCTAGGCCTAGGGATTTGTTACAAGAGATCCTGGCTCCTGGAGGGCAGAGGCTTTTGAGCGAGAGCAGCTCCCCGACCTACCCTCTGGCCGGGTGGGCAGGTGCAAGGACTACTTCCATGGAAGAGGGCACCCCTGCTGCCTTGCTGCCAGGCTGTGCCTCCTGCCCTGTGTCCTTCTGAGCAGACCTGGACAAGTGTGGCCTATGCTGGTCTTATGAGTCTGAACCTTTTGGAGCACATTAGGAGACAACCCCAGTGTGGTGCAAGGAAGCTGAGGCTCAGTGAGGTGAAGTGACTTATACTAGACGCCCCCAGCTGACTGCACTCCCAGGCTCCAGTCCCCTCTGCAGGTCCCAGTGGCCTACCTCGGGCCGCACGGGGTCCTCAATGCCCACCACACAGATGCCGGTGAGGTCATTGAGGATGCTGTTCTCGTTGTCCCAGTCGGGCTCGGGGCTGCTGGGGAAGTCACGGTAGGCCACGCAGATGGTGCGGAGCCCGTCACAGGCCATGGGCTCAATCACCTTCTTCACCATCTCGTCCCGGTCACGGGGCCGGAAGACCCGGGGCTCACCTGCCCCGTTGAGGATTTTGCAGCACCTGTGGGGAGCATGGGAGGGCGATGGGTCAGGCCCAGCCAAGGGCCCAGGGAGTCCTCTCTCTGACTGGCTCGGAGTCTCCTCCTCGTCCTCGGTGATGCCCAGATGTCCATGGCCCATCAGCCAGTGCCCGCCCCGGTCCATTTCCCATAGTGCTTCAGGGCTGGGAGCACACAGGCCAGGCCCCTGGGTCTAGGGAGGGATGCAATTAGAACCACTCAGAAAGAAACCGGGCAGCTTGCTCAGAAATATCTGCTAAAAAGAAACCGGGCAGCCCTGTCGCAAGTATCTGCCCCAGAGTTTCTAACTCAATTTGTCTGGAATGAGTCCAGGATTCAGTGGTTTTTTAAAAGCTCACTGGGGTGTTCCAGTGTGCAGCCAGGGTTAAGAACCACAGAGCTATACCAATCCCCTCAATGCACAAGTGGGGAAGCTGAGGCCCAGAGAGGGGGAGTGACTTCTTAGTTCTCCAGACTTATTTCTGGCACCTGGAGTAAGAAGAGACTCACCAGCAATGAAAAGAGCTACCACCAACCAATTCTACCCTAAGGGGAGTGAAATAAGAGAGATCTAAGTGTGATAATGGGTAGAACTTCCTGATGATCTCATTGATTTAGGGAGGAGGAGGAGGACTCTAGAAATTTTAAAGAGAGCACAGTGCAAAGAGCACTAGGCAAGGTCTTGTTGTGTGACCTTGGGCAGGGCCTGCCCCTCTCTGTGCCTTCTGGGGCTAGATGACTCCTCCAGCCCAGCCAGGCCTGCTGCTAGGTCCTGTGTGACCTGGACATCCCAGCTCCCTACGAAGGGCATGGCCCTTAGCCCAGCACCCTGCTTTGTAGAATCTTCACATTCTGCCTATTTGCTTAAGATTTTTCTCTTTGATAAAAGAAAAGCATTCCAGATAACGTTGGAACCCCTCTGTTCCCCTCCCCGCTGCACCCACTGCCGCTTACTTCTTGAGCACGATCTCGGAAGCACCCTTGCTGTACATGCGGAAGCTCTCGTCGGGCAGCTTGATAACCGTGCTCATAGACTTGCGCACGGAGTTGAAGGTGTACACTTTGTACAGCTTCTCCTCTGGCATCTGGATGCGGACGGGCTCGTAGTCCTGCTTCAGGTCCAGCACGAAGCCCAGCAGGCCGCACTCTGTCTTGTTGCCCACCTGCCGAGGCAGGGCGCCCTCCTTCTCCGGGGGCTGCAGGAGAGGCAGGGCGGTTCAAACACAGGGCAGGGCCAACCCAGGGGGCCCCACCTCCGCTGCCCCCGAGCTCCGGAGCTGCCGCCTGATGTGTGTGTGGGGTGGGCCTGGGCTCCGGGTACCAGCCCCTGCCCACCTCTTCTCCCCTCAGGTAGGCCCTCTGCCCACCCCGGCACCCTCAGTCTCCTGCATCCCAGGCCCAAACCTGGCTCAGGATGGAAGGAGGGGAGCAAGATCAGCTTTTAAAAAAGTATGAACTATTCCAAACATAAAAAAGTACAGAGAATAAAATAATAAACAGCTGTGGATCCACCACCCAGCTTTGTAGAATCTTCATATTATGCCTATTTGCTTAAGATTTTTCTCCAGAGAGGATGTATGTAAGAAAATGGTCAAATATTGGCAATTTTATGTAGTTCACCCTAATTTGTGTATGTATGTACATATACGTGTATATATACCAAACGAAACCCGTTGCTGTCTCATGGCCACCCCATGTGTGTCAGAGTAGAACTATGCTTCACAGGGGTTTCTATGGCGGATCTTTCAGAAGGAAATCACCAGGCCTTTCTTCGGAGACACCTCTGTGTGGATGTGAACCTCTCACCTTTCGCTTAGTAGCCGAGGGCTTGTTTAACCATTTGCACCACCTAGGGGACGCTATGTATATATGCACACATATGTACATATGTGTAGTGCTGTTTTGCATGTTGAAAACTTTATAAGAAGGAGACCACACATGGTCCTGTAACTTGCTTTACTCATGTAACACTCATGTTGATTGTTTTAATTTGTTCATTTTTAACCGCTGTATAAATTCCATTGTATGGATAAGCCACAATTTAGTTGCCCAATCTCCTGGCTCTCCCTTCCCTTCCTTCCCTCCCTCCACTCACTCATTAAGCACCTACTAAGAGCCCTGGTGGCGCAGTGGTTAAGAGCTATGGTTGCTAACCAAAAGGTCAGCAGTTCGAATCCACCAGCCGCTCCTTGGAAACTCTATGGGGCAGTTCTACTCTGTCCTATAGGGTCGCTATGAGTCAGATTTGACTTGATGGCAACGGGTAAGTGCCAGGTAAGGAGCCCGTGACTCAATGGTTAAGTGCTCAGCTGCTAACCAAAAGGTTGGCAGTTTGAACCTACCCAGCAGTGCTGTGGCAGAAGACCTGGTGATCTGCTCCTGTAAAGATTACAGCCTAGAAAACTCTATGGGGGCAGTTCTACTTTGTCACAAGGCGTTGCTATGAGTCGAAACTGACTCAATGGCACTTAACAAGAAGTGGCAGGTGCTGGGGCTCTAGGAATACCACAAGCTCCTGCCCGCCAGACTCTCACTGCATCTCCCCAGCCCCTCCTCTTCCTTGTGTGGCTGCTGAACACAGACTGCTCCATACCTCTGTGCCTCTGCCTCTGCTGTTCCTTCTCTGTACCGTCCTTCCCCTTGCCTGCCAGGCAAACTCCTCAAATATCTCAAATAGCTCAAATATCTCCTTCTCTTTCAAAACAGGATGGTTTGAAAGAGTAAGAGTTGGGGTCTCCTCCTCTCTAGGTTTTCAGGGCTAGCACAGAGCCCAGCATACAGTAGGCACTTACTAATTGTTAGCTGATGGCTCAGTGAAAGGCCAGTGTGGTGAGGGGGGCACAGGTGAACAGGTGAGACAAGGTGCCCCACGTGAGCTCTGATGGTGGGATTGGCAGGCAGCTGGGGGGAGTTCAGATTTGCATGCAAATTCACCTCCCACACACCTGCACGCCCATGCACATGCCCACGCATGCTACTAAAAGAAAATTCATATGCAGCAACTCAGGTGGAGGTAGATCTGGGAGTGGGAAAAAGCCGCCCCAGATAAATCCAAACCCTAAAGAGATTTTGAAGAGGAAGAAATCCCCATGAATGTGCCTGGGTCCCCCACTAATGGCTGTTCATGGGTTTCAGACCAGCCTTGCCCTAGGAGCCCTCTGGATCCTCACCCTCCACCTCACTTGTGTTGCGGAAAAGAGCAGACCAGGCAGGAAGAAGGTGAACAAACTCGAGAAGATGCCAGCATGGCCAGGCTGTACAGGGGACAGGGCCGACCCTCCGTCAGCTCCCAGACATGTCCCTGACCCACTCCCTGCTTCTACAGTCAGGGCTCAGGCCCACGGAGCAGACCTGAGCCCTGTGGGGACATGGGCATTGAAACTGACCCTCAGTCCCAGTGGTCCAGAGACCCAGGGATGCAGGGAAGGAAAGAGACTTAGACCCTAAGCCCATGACCTCAGTTTCCCTGTCTGTAAAATGTAGAGGTTGGGGCATATGATCTCTGGCAGAGAGAGCACCCAAACCTTTCCTTAAAGCAGGCTGTGGTGAGGGATGGCAGGGCGAGGAAGGGTTTGGGGTCCCTCAGTGGGGCGGGGCTGGGAGCCATGGGTGGGGGGCCAGGTTCAGGGTACCCTCCCCAGCTCCCACGGCCAGGCTGAGTGACATCTCCACCATTTGGTGCCTTGTTAAGGCTACCCGCTCCAGATGAGATCTGATCGGGAAGCAGAGAACTCTGATACAGATTCCCATTTCTAGCATTTGGGAAAAGATATTCTATGCACTTCCCTTTGTTTCTGCCATATGCTGTTATGTTGTGCTCTTAAACTTTATTTATTTATTTATTTGCAATTTTATAATCAATCTTCTGGAGAGTTCCAGAGGTTTATGTATTTTCCACAGCAATTTATTTTCCTCCGCTAATGAAAGCAAATGACGGCGTGGAGGACTTAAATAAAAATGCCTAATTAGTTATTTGCCCAAGAGAACAGAACAGTCATGCCTGCAAAACACCCGGCATTTTATTACCCTCTGTGAAATATTTTAATTTTCCTCTAAAAGAATTTGAAACAATCCACGGCTGCAAATGGCAGAGCTGCCTCCTCCGTAATTCAGTTTGTTCCTCTGAACTTAAGATCTGAAATCGCCCACATGCGGTACTAAGAAGCAGGGGCCCTCCTCCTTTTTTCTTTTGGCTTTTTATTCTGACAAACCCAGAGGCTTTGGTCTTGCTGTAGACTCTACAAGAGCCTTTTTGCCTCCAGGGCTCCAACTCTGTAAGGAAGTGAAGGCGTTGGTGGTGTTCCTATTTTGAGAGGGAGGAAACAGGCCCAGGGAGGGAAGTGACTTGCTGGAAGCCACAGCCTGGGGAATACCAGGCCTGAGGCTGGCCCCCAAGCCTCCTGATTCCCAGTTCGGAGATTCATCCTCCACATTTCCCTGTGGGGGTGCTCAGCCCTTGGGGATGCTGGGTGCAGCCAAGGCCGTAACTTTGAGAGGTCAATTCATGCTCCTGTTGTGGGATGCTGGGGAGCAAATTGGGCTGAGATCAATGAATGATGACTTGAAAAGCTACGAGTTATAAATTACATCTGCAAAAATGAGATAAAAAACTCCACAGCTTCGGGAATTGCAATATGATGATTTTTCTGAATGAGTTAGAAAATGACTTTATGCTAATTGGCCATCTCTTGTGACCTACCCAGCTCCTGCTCATCCTTCGAGGATAGGCACTGGCTGCAAAGACTTCCCTGACACCCCCAGGTGAACCACAAATCCAACCTCAACAGCAGCAGCAACGACCATTTTTTGAGTGCCTACTGTGTGCTCAGGGAACATTGATGGAGTGGTAGAATTCTTATCTTCCACGTAGGAGACCAGGGTTCATTCTAGCCAATGCACTTCACGGACAGTCACCACCTGTCTGTCATCAACCCCACTTGCGTATTGCTATGATGCTGAACAGGTTTCAGCGGAGCTTCCAGACTAAGATGGACTAGGAAAAAAGGCCTGGCGATCTACTTCTGAAAATCAGCCAGTGAAAACTCTATGGATCATAATGGTCCGATTCACAGCAAATCATGGGGATGGCACAGGACCAGGCAGCATTCTGTTCCATTGTGCACGGGGTTTCCATGAGTTGGAGGCTGACTCAGTGGCAGCTAACAACACTATGTGCTCACCACTTTACTAAGCTCTTCACAAGCATCATCACAACTCCCTAGGAGGCAGAGACTGTTGTTATTCCCATTTTACAGTTGTGGAAAGTGAGGCCCAGAAAGGCTAGGTCACACTAGTAAGTGGCAGAGCTAGGGTGTGACCGCAGGCATTCCTGGCTCTGAGCCCCATAGCACATGCTCTCCCAGCAGCCCCTGCTTCCTCGCTAGCATTTGAGATCGTCTTTTCATTAGTGACCCGGTTGGTGACTGGTTTAGAGACCAGGAAGGCAGGGGCTGTGTGTGTTCTGCCCATCCCTTTACCCCAGCTTTAGCATGGGGCAGGGGGGTATCCAACAAATGTTTGCTGGATAAATGAATGATTCTGTGTTCGTATGTGGGAGGTGCTGCCAATGGGAGGGCAAGATAGGACGGAATTTTGGCAGAAGTTTGGCCTCTAGAATTGTCACCTAAGGGTCTGTCTTCCCCAGGAGCTTCTTGGGTGCCAGGCTGCTAAGGATTGTGAAAGAGGAAAGCCCTGCCAGGGAGTCACAGGGTCTTCTCCGGAGGCTGGGGAGGCCCCACATTGGTGCGGGTGTCCAGGAAGACACACCAGGACAAGCCCACACGGGGCCATGGGAACCCCCTGCAATGTGGTGACACTGCTGGAAAGCAAACTCCTTGGGTACGTGTGCTGGTGAGTGGGGTGGACCACAGGGGTTAACAGCTCTGTCAAAAATTGGAATTCCCATCTGGGTCGTTTGCTTTAAACTCTTCTCCCAGAGTTGGTGTTTGCAAGAAACCAAAACCAAAACTGGTTGTTGAAACCAACAGGAGGATCCCTGCCTCCCTGGGATGTTCAGACCCCAGAACTTCACCCCCTACCACTATCTTAAAGTTCTACACCGTCACTGCCAGGGTCTTCCGTACCTCCTGGCACCCCTGGCTTCGCCGGAGCCCAGTCCAGGGCATGGCCTGACTCAGGGGGACTTGGAGATTCATTAGAATATTAGATTGAGCCCTGGGCTTGGAGCCAGGAGATC